GGCGGGTAAGGTGCATAAGAACTGCAGGACAGGGGCAGGTAGAGCCCGTGGGAAAGAGGCCTGGGGAGACAGAAGACTTCTGCGTCAGGGGCTTCTGTCTGCAGCAGAGAAGCTGAGCAAACATTCTAACCTGAAAAAGTCCTTTTTCCTCCCTGCACAGGGAGCTCCCAGGAGATGGAGGTGGGGAGGCAGGGCAAGAGGCTCTGGTGGTCCTAGGAAGGGAGGATCCACTGGCTCCTTCCTGGTGCAACACGGACACTCTCTCTGGGCCTCAAGTGTCCGTATATGGTAAATGAGGTGGCTGGCCTAGATAAGTGGGCTTCCCACACTTTGTAGCTCTAGAGCCCTTGTAATGAACCCCTAAAATATAAAGCATATAATGGGGAACTGTTCTAATGGCTGCAGGGGCCGGGCCAGAACCCATGGCAGCCTCGGCCCTCTGAGGACCTCCGAGTGCCTCTGCAGCAGGTGGTCTCTAGGGGCTCGACGACGGAGCCTTCCCTTTCTCAGAAGAATGAGCCCCACATCTGGGAGCACTCCTTTCCCAGTCAGCCATAGCCGCCCCAGCTGCTTCCTGAAACGACTCCATTTTCCAAGGTCCTTTCTTCTTAATAAGGAAACCTAATTTGGCGGCTGTTAATGAGGAAGCCAGGCAGGAGGGAGCAGGTCTGGCTGGCGGGACACTTGGGAACGGACAGGTGTGAGCCTGCGGAACCGTTCACGGGGCCCCAGGAGCGTCCTGTTCCTCACTGCCCCCCACCCCCTAGGACTGACGGCCCTCCCAGCCCCTGGTTTCTCCCACTTCCAGCCCACACGTCTGAGGCTCACAAGGGGATGGGTGGGACCTCCGGTCTGAATGCACAGCCGGCGCTCTTATAGGTGCCTCGCGTGTGCAGAGCCAGCGCTTGGCGCTGGAGACAGACCCCAGGCTGAGCATGAGAGCCCTGCAGTTTGGGGACTCGGGTCTGAGAGGCTGCAGGGCGCTTGGCATGGAGCTGGGGAGCAGCAGGCGTGTCCATCTGGGGAATTCTAAGCTGTCCGTTGGGCAGCTCCAAGCTGGAGCTCCTGGGAAGCGGTGAGTCCTAAATCAGTGCTTCTCCCCAGGTGCAGATTCTGACTCAGGAGGGACCGATGCCACTGGGTGGGGACCGTGCTTGGGGAATTGATGATGGCGAGTGCCCCGCAGTGGTGGCTGCTGGAGCTCAGTGAGGGATGAAGGAGAGGTGGGAGGCGTGGGAGACTTCCCTGGGGGGGAGTTTGAAGAGCAGCACTGGGGGAGCAGAGACCCTGGCCTGGGGCCCCGCAAAACGCGGTAGCACAGCATCCCCCCGCCAACTCCTAGAATGGGGCCGGATTTGAAAGAGGCAGGGCCTGGGCTTTGGGGTCAGGCCTACCTCTGGCCTGGAAACCCCTGAGGGCAGGGCCCGGGATCCCAGGGCCTGGCATGGAGGAGGTGCTTATCAGTGTTTGCTGAGTGACTGAACGAGGCAGTTTGAGTCCCAGCTCTGCCTGACGTTGGGGACCTGCCTTAGCCTGCCCGCCTTGCCTGTGAAATGGGCACATCTGCCACTGTGGATTCAGAGGCCTGGCGCGGACAGTGACTCACCCCTGCCCTTCCTCCCCTTCTTGCTGGCAGGTGGTCAGTCGGGTGGCAGCTCAGCAAGGGTTCGACCTGGACCTCGGCTACAGACTGCTGGCTGTGTGTGCCGCAAACCGAGACAAGTTCACTCCGAAGTCTGCCGGTAGGTGACGGCTGGGGGCTCCACGGTGTCGTCGGGAGTGGGGGTGGGGCACTGGACTTAAACCCAAGGCTGTCACCACCCCTGTTGGCTGGCACCTCGGTTGGTCCAGGTATGGCGTGAGCTCCCGAGTAGCAGCAGCTCACCTGCTGGCCTCTTGAGCCCACAAGTAGGGCCTGTCCCTCATCTCAGGGCCAGCAAGGGGCCCGGGGCACACCACACCCCAAAAACAGGCTAAAGGGAGATGCACATCATCTCATTCCATCACCACAGTGACCCCTTGGTGTAAGTGCTGTGATCATCCCCATTTTACAGCCCAGGAAACTGAGGCTCAGAGAAGCTGCAGAGATTTCCCCAGGTCACACAGCTAAGAAGTGGCAGAGCTGGGATTTAAGCCCAGGCGTACACTCCAGAATCAGCATCCTTAACCCTGAGGCCCTGCTGCATTCATTCAAGATTTTTTTAATTTAAAATAAAACACAAATTAAAATAAAAATGAATCAGTACATTCAGGATTCTAAAAGACTGCTCTCCGTAGTATTCTCCATTGCAACTCTGTCCCGGCACGGGACCCCCTGACTCTATAGTAAACAGAGGCCACGGAAGGTGCCAGGCAGCATTCTGTCTGTGAGGGCTTTAAGCACACTAAAGGTGCAGCTTTACCTGTCCCTCCATCCTCATTACCTTGCTTAAAAGCAGGGGAAGGGCTTCCCTGGTGGCGCAGTGGTTGAGAGTCCGCCTGCCGATGCGGGGGATACGGGTTCGTGCCCCGGTCCGGGAGGATCCCACGTGCCGCGGAGCGGCTGGGCCCGTGAGCCATGGCCGCTGGGCCTGGGCGTCCGGAGCCTGTGCTCCGCAACGGGAGAGGCCGCGACAGTGAGAGGCCCGCGTACTGCAAA